TGTTCATTCTACAGCATCTGATATTGATGCCTCTGAGGAAGAAAAGAAGACCAGAATGGGATCGTTGAAGAAGGCAGCCATCAATGCATCCAATAAATTCAGGAATTCTTTGTCAAAGAAAGGTAGAAGGAGCAGTAAAGTAATGTCCGTGGAAATTGAGGATGTGCATGATGCAGAGGAGTTGCAGGCCGTTGATGCCTTACGTCAGGCACTTATATTGGAGGAACTGCTGCCAGCAAAACATGATGATTATCATATGTTGCTCAGGTTACTTTTTGTCCTCCTGTTTCATCTTTGATGTTGCAGATAAATACATTGTTCGATATGTCTACTTGGCCGTTTTATTCAAATGAAGAACTTAGTAAGGCAACTGCAAATGCGATTATTGCTGTTGCTGTTGTAGTATCTAAAGTTTTTATGTGACGGTTTATTACAAACATATAGAAATGGTTTGAATTTGTCTTGTACTTATTAACCTCTAAATGTACCCATCTGATAATGCAGGTTCTTGAAGGCCAGAAAATTTGACATTGAGAAAACGAAGCAAATGTGGTCTGATATGCTCCAGTGGAGGAAGGAATTTGGTACAGACACAATTATGGAGGTATTCCTCTTAGGAATCAGCTCTAGAAGCCAGAATTCTGCTACTTGTTTACGTTTCCTTTCATATTTTGTGTTTCTTAAAACTGCCCCATCATTTCCATTTTCTGCTCTTTGTTTAGGACTTTGAGTTCAAGGAACAGAGTGAAGTAGTGGAATATTATCCCCAAGGGTACCATGGAGTAGATAAGGAAGGACGACCAGTGTACATAGAGAGAATAGGCCTAGTCGATGCTACCAAGCTCATGCAAGTCACAACCATGGACCGCTATCTCAAATACCATGTAAAGGAGTTTGAGAGGGCCTTTGATGTTAAGTTTCCAGGTTGCTCTATTGCAGCCAAGAAGCACATTGACCAAAGCACAACCATCTTGGATGTGCAAGGAGTGGTAAGTGAGAACAATGATCACTATGATACAAGAATTCGATCAATTAATCACTATAAGGTGCTCTAATGACTCCAAAATCCTCACTTTGACCTCTAACCTCCCAAAATCTGATTTTCAAAAGCACAACTGTGTATTCTGACCAAAGAAAATATATAACTCATGTATGAGAACACCCTCTTGGTTAATTTCGAGTTAATGGAACAGGGTCTTAAAAGCTTCACCAAAGCTGCAAGGGAACTTATCACTCGTCTTCAGAAGACTGATGGTGACAATTATCCTGAGGTACCAATTTCCTTAGTATTGTTCTTGCATAATAGCTAAGTTTTTGTTTGATTGTGACTTTTAAATGTAGATGATGGATTTATGATGTGCAAATTGTCACCTTTTCTGCAGACCTTGAACCGCATGTTCATCATCAATGCAGGTTCCGGATTTAGAATGTTGTGGAACTCTGTTAAGTCTTTCCTTGATCCTAAGACGACAGCCAAGATCCATGTAAGCATATGCTTCCTCTGACTGAATTTGCTTCTCTTAACTAATGGAAATTAACCAGTAAGATGTATTATATACCAGGTTCTTGGCAACAAATACCAGAGCAAGTTGCTTGAAATAATTGATGCTAGGTATGTTCCCATTAGATGATCCAAGTTTTGCTTATATTTCGTTTTGTATGTTTGCCTTTCTGATTTCGTCTCATCAAACATTCACATTCACTACTGCAAATATTTTCCTGGCCTCACTTTTTATTGTTTTGCTAATTTCTCTTCTTTTTTCCTGGTCTGGCTCTATCTCAGTGAGTTGCCAGAATTTTTTGGAGGTACTTGCACTTGTGCTGATCATGGAGGCTGTATGCTTTCTGATAAGGGCCCATGGAAGGACCCAGAGATCTTGAAGGTGGCCCACAACTATCTTTTAGTTGCATTCTTCTTTTTATTTCTTTATTTTTTCTCAGTTGCAATCATATAATTATCTTTGTATAGTTTGTTTTCCAGTTACAACGCACTTTTAACCAATTCTTTGACTTGCAGATGGTTCAAAATGGTGAACATAAATGCACAAAGAAATCTCAGGCTCAAAGCACTGAAGAGAAGACAATTTCTGAGGAAGAGACCATCCTCTCAAAGGTTCCACTTGCTCAATGAGCATGCCCCTGTCTGTCCCTTTTTTCCCCCTATTTTGATGTGTCCCTGAATTATAAACATGTTGCATGTTGACTATCTATTTTCCTTAACTCAGTGGCTTTTCTTTTCTATCTTCTTTTCATTGATTGATTGAGTAGTTTGTTTCACATACAGTCTACTCAGGCTTGTGACTCCTCGGATGTTGAGGCAGCTTCAGATGCAGGGAATAAACAGTCTCTTTCCTCTGAACATTCAACAAATGATATTGAGCGTCCGGAACTGTCTCCTGTTAAAGAAAAAGTAAGTTTGCGGCCTCCTTAGACAATATTGTCAACAATTAAGTGGTTTCAGGCTTTGAGTCAGCATCTACTGGTACCAACGTCCACCTCAAAGTTGAATCCAGTTATTGAAAATCCCAGTACCAACAAAGTACCCAAGTCCTAGATTTCTTGACCTGATTGAGTTTATTAGCTTTTCCTCCTTCCTTCCTCCCATTTCTTCTTATTTCACTCTGAAACCTCATTTTGTTGTGGTTGCATTGTGAAAGCTACTATATTTTTGCCACCATTTTTCTTTGTTCTGATAAATAAATCTCACAGGCACAAATGAGCCAACATGAGAAATGTGTCCCAGTGGCTGATAAACCTGCGGATTTGGCTTGTCAGGACAAACTGCAGAATGAAAATTTTGCCGCCCTATCAAAAGGTACTTGGCCTACTCAGATTGTTACATCTATTTATATTCATATTAATACAAAAATAAAAAACAAAGCAGCTTTCAGAGGCTATTTGCTCTGCATGTTCCTCAATTTAGTCTGATTATTCATATTGTTACGAACCCTCCTTATGTTTTTCAATATAAATTCTTTTCATTACAAGGACATCTAAAACTGCAGAGTTCGGTATCAGGGACAGAACACTTTGTTTATGCATATGACATCAATACAACTATTCTTCATTTTTAATTCTTTTTCTGACGAAGGAAATGTAAGGATATTGATATTTTCATATCTCTCAATTATTATTCTTTTTGGTGGAATAAATTATATTCAAGGTAGTTTCTTTTTCTAGTCCATTGATCGAAGCAATTTTTTATTCATGTATGCTCACCAGAATCTGGAAAGTTGAATGCCTTGGTTTCTTAGATCAGATACTTCCTTAATGTGAGTCTAAACTGAATTTCAATAGGTGCTAAGGTTTCTATCGTTGCAATGGCAGATTCTTATGCTATGCAAGAAAGTGGCAACGTTCCCGATGGGGTTAGCTCTCATCTTTTCACTGGTGTCATGACCTTTGTAATGGGTATTGCCACCATGATTAGAGTGACACGCAACATGCCCAGGAAGCTCACTGATGCCAACATCTACTCCAGTCCTGTTTACTGTGATGACACAGATGTTAAGAGCCAGGAACCTTCAGACAACTTAACCCCAGCAGCCATCTCCACTGCAGAATTGATGTCTGTCATGAAACGTATGGCTGAGTTGGAAGAGAGAGTAAGTTTTATGAACATGAAAACTACAGCAATGCCCCCCGAGAAGGAGGAAATGCTGAATTCTGCACTAAACCGGGCTGATGCCTTGGAGCAAGAGCTTATGGCAACTAAGAAGGTAAACATATCGCTGCTTTTGCTAAAATTATTAATAAACCACCAGATTAGCACAAGCTATGCTTGTAAAACATCAATCCCTGATTGCCTATCTGGGTCATTTTCAATCATTTTTAACACTAAAGAGTGATTGCAATTGCTTTTTCAGGCTCTAGAAGACTCCTTTGCTCAACAGCAGGAGCTCGTGGCTTATCTGGACAAGAAGAAGAAAAGGAAGAAGAGGACTTTGGTAAGCTATTAAGACCATAGCATTTGCCCATGCATCTTTTGTTTATGAACAGTATAATTAATTTACATGAAGTTGTCTCACTTTTCCAAATCAATCTGCTTGTTTTCCACAGTTCTGGTGAAGAAAGAAAAGCTGGGTGCTGACAGATGCTCAGGAAACAGGCGGTGGGGTAATTCATTTTTAGAAGGCGGCCACACCTCCTCACCCCAAATGCACTCTAGACTAACCTTCCACTCATAAAATGCAACTGAAAAAGTTTTGTTCATATATAAATATTATTTGAATCGGCCTGTATATATCAATGTACATATCAATATAAATGTTGGCAGGCACGTGTTTGATCATATATTTTTAATGTCCCTCAAAAGGAGGAAACGAAAGTCCCCTGGATGCATGCATGGGATATATATCAAGTGGTAATCTCCATTCTCAATTCCTAGTATCCATTACAATAATAAGGTAATAATTACCCATCTCTGCTGCAACTGCAGAGATTCCAAGTGCATTTATGCTGTGGTTAAGTGGCTCTTTTAATATTAGAATTACTCGTCCAAGTATACTAAACTGTAAAACTGTAGGGATTCAGGTCTAAACATCATTGATCTAATGATTTTTTAAGTATAAATTATATAATTTTTAAAAATTTAAATTTTTATATAAATTTTAAAAATCTCATTAATGTAACGTGAAAGTACACCTTGAACTAACAAACATATGCACTTATTCCGATTATAACGATAAGAGTTTAAGTATCATTGATTCAATAATTTTTAAATTGAAATTACGTATTTTTTAAAAATTTAAATTTAAATTACTTAAGAGTGATTTGAATTAAACCGTTATGCATAGATCTCATATCAATTCTCATTTTTAATTGTATTCACCTTGAATCTAAATGTCTTGTTGGGCGTAATGAATGTAGGGAAGTTTTATGCCAAGTTTAAAAGCCTTGTCAATTTGATGATCCCCTAATAAACATTCTTTCATGGAGGTTGACAAGTATACATATGATCAGCCAGCCAAAGGTCCAAGTCTTCTTTAAGCAGACCTTGAGCCGACTCCTACCTGTAGTAGTTTATAATTTTCATAATCCCAAAAGCCAAAAACCATATTTCTTACGTACAACCTCAAGTTTTTTTCAATAGGGGAAACATTGCCTAAATGCCACCATCGCAGCTATTAATAAAATATGATGCGTAAGACTGGGGCACAAGGCATAGTCCTCTACTTCTAAGGTCACGCTTCTGCTCTTCTTGTCCTTCCGCCTCGTTCGAACCCTGCCAATCAGAAGAAGCTTGTGATTTTTTTTTACTTTTGGCAATAATGGATTATTCTGTTAGTGGTGATTAGTAATAAGTTCCAATCATTTAGCAAAGCAACTTTATGGTTTACTGAGATAGCTAGCTAAGGAGTTTCATACCACTTGAACTGTTCTATAAAGCTTGCTTTGTGATGACTTCATAAATGGCACGCTCAGTGTCTGCAAAAGGAAAGGGAAGAAAACGAACTTGTTCAGGATCCTGAAGCAACTGGGTTCTTTAAGTTAATTAGCTTCTTTCTGCAGAAACCTTCTTGTATTCTTGCCTATTTGGATATATGGATCAAGAGTATGCATGCAAAGAATGAATAGCCAAGTATGAATACAGTAAAAAGAAAGAAAATAACCCAAAGTGAGAAAAATACCTGAACTTGGTCATGCAGGAACTGGATGTACCCAATGGCTTCTGTTAACACAGTGGCTGTGTCTGTCTGGCAATCATTCCATACAGAGAAAATTCAGATACGTAAGCATGGCCCAAATATCATTTTAAGTTTTTAACTTTCTAGTCTAACTCTCTCATCTCATTCACTCTTAGTGGATGGTGATGAGGGCGTAACATGGAGCGAAATGTACCTTGCCAAAAGGTGCTACCAACTTCTGAAGGGCTGCAACCCTGTCTCCTAGTTTCTCCTTTCTAACCTAGTTAAAAAATCCAAAGCCCTGGCTAGTCAGAAATTGGAAACGAGAAAAGGGGAAAAGAAACTATCCAACTTGAAGAATTAATTGGTAGTGGAAGTATCAGTATCACCTTCAATGTTGGGCATGGGGATCGTGACGTTGAGGACCGATGCTTCTTAGCAGCTGTTTGGGATTCCTTTGTCTCAGAAAAGCTACCAGGCCTCTTTGTGCTTGTAATCGATCCACTAACTAAGGTTGATATCTTTATGATGATAAAAAGAAAAGCACTTCTCAGTCTATGGATTCCGAGAGGAGAATCATGTTAAAGTGATCAACAAGAAAGATTGCAAGGATGGCCACATACAGTATATATATAGAATTGAAAAAGAACTCTTTTTTGGTTGATGAGTTTGAAGGTGTATTTGTAAAACTAGAAATTAATGGAAATCAATCCATTTCCTGTTTCTTTCCAACCTCAGGCTCTTCCATTAATTAAAGGCCTCAAGCAAATCTTAATTCACATTGTCTGCTAAAAACTAAGACTATAGGAGAAAGAGATACTCACTTTATTGGAGCTGGTGGATGGACTATCACTACGTTCTCTTATGTGATCATGGCCCATAAGAACACTTCTGCTTAGTTTCCCAGGACTATCAAGTAAAGATTGATTACAGCTCCCACCATCATATGTAGAAGTCAAAAGATCCAAGGCCTTCAAGTTCAAGTCCAAAGAGCTTGAAAACAATGTAGAACACAAATCCGAGGTGGAAATATATGTACTTGGAAAGATATGATTGAAGTCATATCTGCTAGATGCTGCTGCAGTTCCCAAACATGGGGACTGATGAGCATTCCTGTACAAGTCTCCTGATGAAAGCTGCAGCTCAGTCATGTGGTTAGCAATGGAGAAATTGCTGTGCCATAGATTTCCTCCAAGATCACTAGATTGAGGATATATATAGTGTTTTTTAGATGGTAAATACGAGTCCTCTACACCGGAGTGGCAGTACATCATCTCACTCAGTTTGGGGAAGGAATCTGACATCTCATCTTTGATATTTGCAAGGAGAAACTCACTGGCAGATTGTTGGTTGAGGCGATCTTGATTCATGGAAGTCCTGATCAAAGGCGGTGCCCATAGATCCTTTGATTTTGGGATGGTTTCAGTCAGATTCCTATTGTATTTGCTACCAATATTCCTGCAAGAAGAAAAACAACCATAAACGTAACATATACAACATGAAGACATAACTGAATTTACCATTATAATCAATTCAATATATACTGAAAATCAAAGAAACCTCAAATAGCACGAAACTTGTCAATATTAAAGTTTCTATAGGCTTTGGGTCAACGAAGATGTCTTAGATTCACATGTCTTATTGAATTTTTTTCCTTTTTTCCCTTTTTTAAGTGACTAACTTCGAGTTCAAGGGGCATACGTTGCATGAATAAAAACAGATCGTATATAGAACTATATACGTAATAATCAAGAGTATCAGACGAACAGTTTACTTGTAAGTAAGCTTATGCACTAAACCATGGAAGAACCGATGCTTTAACCTTTCCAGGGAAAGCGAAAATGAGAAGAACTAGCAGCTAGTAATACTTACGGAACGAGGCTCGGGTTCCATTCATCAGACGCTGATACTTCATGATGGCCTGTTTGAGTTGCCAGAGATGAATATTTAACATACTGTTCTTGAACCTTAGGGTGACGATTGAGATTTGCAGACTCCATAATATGGTTCCAGTAAACACTTCAAAAATACCAAAATCAAGCAAGCAAACCTCTCCTTGAGGTCTCTTTCTAAGGAATAATATATATTCAGTAAAGCATTTTTCTCCCTTGATTTTCCTCTCCCTTTCCCTGCAACTGCACGTCTCAGCTCAAAGGAGCATCTGAAAGAAAGAAAGATGAAGATAGCATATACCCCTTCAAATTAATGAGGTTTGCAAGAAACTTTATGCAGCTTCAGTTGCTAGTGAACCCTATGACTATTATATATATAATAATATTGGATTAAACTTCTTTTGCCCTCTGTATTCTTTCCAAAGGCACATAGATAGATGAGACATGATTTAAATCTTGATTTTGGAATTGCTCTAAGACACCCACAAGAAGCATCTGAAGAAGGAAATTTTCTGTTGAAAATGCTCCTTCTTTTTCACTTGTTCAAAGACCTTATATTAAGCAATATATATATATCTATAGGCATATTGTAGGGTTATCATTCTAAAAGTTAAAAAAATAAAAATAGGTTGTTAAATCGTAGCCACCATGGCATGCGCAGTATATTAAGTTCTGCTTTTACGGTATGCCATGATTAATCTATAATAACAGTACCTTGTACTCGATAGAACAGCCATACAAGAGAAAATAGGATACTCTACCGAGCTTGTATATGGCCGTATGTGAGCAGATTTTGGGTAATTAATTAATAAGAAGGAAATACAAAACTTGTAGCAACATGAAAAGTTATGATTAATGACTTGCAGATTCTCGCCATTTAGAGTAGGATATATGTATACACACTTCATTTTCTTGTTTTATTTATTAAATAAATATATATATCTACACACACGTGAAATTTATTGATTATGTGATTTTATATTAAAAAATAATACAAAAAATCATAGTCCAAATTATTGAAAGAAGTATGCTGCTGAATTCTCACAAGGTGTTTTATGGATGCAGTAGATAATCAATTTCAAGTTTCAAAAACCAATAATTCAAAGAGAAAAGTGAAGAATCCGAGCTAAGCAAACTGATATATATATATATATATATATATATATCAATCTTATGATCAAGGGAGAATATAAAAAACTATAGTGTGATGGTGCTGGTTGCTCAACTTTCAGAGAATTGTTTGATTAAACAAAACTAAGATGTCTTTTTCCAAAAAGAGAACCATATAATAAGCAAAATAATGAACCCCCAGAAAAGTTAGCTCAGAGGGAAAAAGCTGGTAGGAAAATGCAATATGGGGATTATGGGCGAGATTGCTGAATTGTCGTTTGCGTTTCCCTTCCTGCTTTCCTAGAGTCTCTCCAGGCTGCACCGATCATCCACAGCTTTTTCATTCTTAAATCATTTTCTTCATCAATCCTCAAGTTTCAACATAGGGTTGCTCTCTTATTCAGGGTTCAGATTGTTTCCCAAGGTTTCCCTGGTGGATATCAATGCAAAAACAAGACACTGAAAACAGTGCAAAAAAAAGGATTGAGTTATCAGATAATCAAAGGTTATTTGAAATAGTGAACTAGTTCAATCTCGCTGTCTAGTTTTAGATTATAGGGGGCAAAAAACTATCCAATTATTGGAAGAACATTGGGATTCCAAGATGCCATTTTGTATGTTTATAAGTAGATTGGAATATAAAATTCTAAGTGAAAGAGCACCTAGACTGTCTAATCCACTTGCATACATAGGCACCCCCACAACTGGAATCCACGTTGGGATGCATTATGCTTTGACAATATTTAAAAATGTAAAGGGCATGGAAATACAATAATATCTGTTACTACTATACTACTATACTTTTTTGCAGTCATTGTACAGTCAACCAGGCTCAAGGGATTTCTTTAATTTCCATTGCTTAGATGAAATAGGGAAATTTCCAAACTTCAATTCCCAACACTAATTTTATGAAACTTTAATTCTTTCCATCAGTTCATCTGCAGAAACACAGCAAAGGGTACTGTCAAAATTTGTCTATGTTACTTTATAGATTGCCAAGAACATAGGCCTAGCCATACACCCTTTGTTAAATAAACAATGGGAATTTGTTTAAACTTATGAATGAAAAATCGCAGTGAAATTGGGAAAAGTTAATACTACTATAGAAAGTGGCAAGTCCCTGAAAAGGAGGTGTAAAGTTGCCAGAATTAAAGATGTTTCAAGAAGAAGACAAGGCATTTGAATCCTGGAAGAATATATGCCCACTTTTGTTAGCATATAGAGCAGAAAATCCCGGTATCCGGGACCATGCTTTTTTATTTTACCATTCATTAAGTTCAAGGTCCTTTCAGGGAAGAATATCACAAGCACTTGGAGACGGAGTATATTAGATTACATGATAATTTGAAAGAGTATCAGGATATAAATAAATTCATTTTCGGTGCTCAGGCAATAATGTGGCTGTAGTTTAGTGGTAAGAATTCCACGTTGTGGCCGTGGAGACCTGGGCTCGAATCCCAGCAGCCACAACTCTGCTTCTCACCTATTTTTTTCTCCATTTCCTTTCCAAAATTTTACATGCACAATTGCAGTTGAGTTCCCTAGTCTCTCACAAGTGACTAAGCCCTGCAGAAAACAACACAGTTATAGCTACAGCTATGAAAAACCCGAAGCCATGCTTATAGCTTCTGCCTTTGGGCATTGCAGTTTCTGTCTTTGGCCTAAGGTTCCCAATCTTCTTGCTTTTGTTTCTTGCAGCTTCTGTTTTAAAGCCCATAGAAAAATTGCTGATCCGGTCAATGTCTTTCCCGAGAGATCTTGAGGAAAAGAACCTCCATCCACATGCGAATATACACCCCCCCTCCTCTCTTTCTTTCCATTTCTCCTTCTAAGTCATATTCTTTCATTACATGTGGCTCATGCATGTGTTTAACCCATAACAAAGACAGATGATCCACGCTTATATATATTCGATGTCCTCTTATAAAATTATGTAGAAAATAATTAATAAAATAAAATCTCATATTAGAATATGTGATTCATCGGTTGATACATCATATCTCTGATTAAAAAATAAAATTTAAATCTCTTTTTCATAATTCAAAAAAAATTAATAAAATAATTAAAAAATCTTTCTAAATATAAATAAAAAATTTGTGAGATTCATTCATTTTAAGTTCTCTTATTATGAATATTAGACAAATTTAGATATCCAAATAACTGTGATTAAATCTTAAGAAATGGACAAAAACTAGTGGCATTAGGTCAAATTGATAGTAGCTCACCGACATTTAATTAATTATCAAGTTTTGACGAAAGGCAAGCCATGATCTTAGAAATAACCTCTCATTGATCCATCTATCTAGTCTAAAAAATTATGTCAAGTCTTGCTTTTTAGCACTTTGCCCTGCACCCCACCTACCTCCCTAACTAATAGATTTAAGTTAACCCCCATCTCATGTGCAAACTAATCCGATAAGAGTTTAACATAAATAAGCTTCATCAAGAAGCGACTAAGCGTAATTAAGATTTGGTCATCCTCAAATTTTGAGTCTTCTTTTTGCTCTCTGTTCGTCTTTTTTGACCCTTTCTTTGATAAGATATAGAATGATTAATCTCATAATTACTCGATGACGTTTTCAACCAATGGAGATGAAAAATGCTTTTTAAAAAGTCTAAATATGTAATGTAATAGCCATTATTTAATCTTAATCATGCCCACATATCGACAAATGAAAGCAAGCCAGCAGGCCTAAAATGGTGAGTACACGCGGGGGCCAGCCGTTTACTTTGAAAGGGAGAGAGGAAATCGAATGTGTTGGTTTGAAACATTGACGAGGAGTTTGAATTTTGGGATGGATTGATGATTGAAGGAAACCAAAGCCAAAGGCAAAGGGCGAATGAGTTCAAAAGGAAGAAGCATCTCTTCCACGTTTTCATAAATGCAAGCCAACTTTTAGCCATTGGGATGGGAAGCTCTCGGCTCCAAGCCGCCTCACCAAAAAAAAATAAATCCCCATTATCAACAAAATGGGTACAATTAATGGGAATTGTTTGATAACTTCATGTAGTTATATTGTGTTCCTCGTTTGTTAAAGGAAAGTAACATGTTGAATTATTGATTGGTCACCTATTTTAACCATTTGCTTGAAACAATATGATTTCATCTTGTTTCTTATTACCAAATGCTAAGCCTACAAAAGAATCATCTCAAAACAGTAACTTTCTTTTCCAGTTTAGTATTTAGTAAACATGATAAAGTCTTTTCTTTACCCATTATTGTGGGAAGTGGAGAGAAGATAGAAGTTTCAAGTTTGTTCGTGGCAAAGCTTAAGCAAGCCAAGGCTGCAAATTATCTGCAAGCGAAAAAAAAAGGGGGGCAAACGGATAAAAGGTTCAAGATTGTTTGTGCATGAAGAGAGAAAGAGGGAGGGGTGGGGGGAAAGAGAGATTGTATTGATATTTCCTAAAGCCCCATAAAACCAAAACAATACATAGCTGTCGTTTATGCCTCAAGGGGAATGCCGTGTGGGCGTCACGTCCCTGCCCTTTCCTGTACATGCTCTCTTATACATCTACTCTTTCTCTGTCTGTTGTCTCTTTGGGTCTGATCAGTAATTAAGAATCAGATCAGATCACTTCTCTTTGTTTTGGATAAGGATTTTGCATAAAGACCTAACTTTTGTTTTTTGGTGAAGACAAGTAGAAGAGTTTGGGTTTCCTTTTTTGGAAGAAATGAGTGTGAAAGTTTGGAATTTTACCGAGAATTATTTGAAAGCCGGTGAATTTGGAGTTTGCTGATAGGTTAAAGAAAAGGGTAGCAAAAAAGTTGGGATTTCTAATCTTATTTAAGGAAAAAAGTGAAGAAACTGATCAGAAAAGATCAAAGCAAAGAAGTAGAGCGGCAAGTAAGAATTGATTCCAAACCCCCTTTTTTCCTTCTTGTTTTTCTGTTAAATTTTGGTTTTTTATGGTGATTTGTTTTTTCTGGCAATTTCACAGAGGAATGGCGACGCTTGTGGAGCCACCGAATGGGGTGAGGGCAACAGGGAAGCATTACTATTCAATGTGGCAGACCCTTTTCGAGATTGACACAAAGTATGTTCCAATCAAGCCTATAGGGAGAGGAGCATACGGCATCGTCTGTTCATCAATCAACAGGGAAACCAATGAGAAAGTCGCTATAAAGAAGATCAACAATGTGTTTGAGAATCGTGTTGATGCGTTGAGAACTTTGAGGGAGTTGAAACTTCTCAGACACATTCGACATGAGA